GCTGGTGCAGGCGGGTAAGGGGGCTCGGGGGCGAAGGGCTGCGGGCAGGGGGTGCTGTGGGCGGGCTGGGCGCCTGGGTAGGCTCCTCTCCTGCCCCAACCATCTAGATACTCAGTAATTCCCATCCCTTCTCCCAAGGGACCCCCTGTCTCTTTCCACTCTCTGTTCCCTAAACCAAATCTCGAGTCACTTCCCCACTTCTTGATTCCAGACCTGTCTTTCACCTCCAAGCCCCTTCTCATCACTTTATTCCTGGATTTGCTAGAGTCTGTGGTCCCCAAACCTCTAATCCCATACCCCTGACCCCAGGCTTTTGCCTCAGGTCCACTAGCACCCTTCTCTGGCCCAGGGAGCAGCTGAGGACACCCCTCCCCCCACCTTAGGCGTTCCTCTCCTGCCCCCAAAGACCTCAAAGCTCTGCAGGCCACCTCTGCAGGACAGGGCTGGAGCAGGCTGGGATCCAGGTGTTTACGTGAGCATGTGTGAGGGGGATGGGGACTGGCTCCCCAGGGTGGGCACTGGGTGGGTGTAGTTGGGCCCCTAAGCCTTGTGCTGTTAGTGTCAGGCCTGCCCCATGGGCCCATCCGCCCCCAGCCTCTCCCTGTGCCCTGTCTCTTGGCCCTCCTGGCTCTCTGCTCCCTGCTGTGTCAATCTCTGACACTCCACTGACCTCTTCTATGGCTCTTTGCCTCTGTGTTCCTCTGTCATCTCTTTTTGGCTCTGTCTCCCCCAGGCCCCAGATTCAGCCCCTTAGGGCTTGGGTCCACTCACCCATGGGGTGAGGGGGTGCTGCTCAGTCTCAGGCCTTCCCCTTGCAGCACCTGCCCCTTGGGAGATAGAGAGGCTTGTGTGACTCCCCTGCCTCTCTCCTAGGAGGATCTTCCTTCTTGACACTTCCCCCTCACCATCACTCTCTAATCCCCCTCTCTACTGATCCTTTTTCACCCTCTTTCTCCATCCAGAAGGTCCTATCCTGCCCTCTTGACTCCAGTGAGGAGCCCTGCTTGGAGTGACCCTATCTTCCCCTGCCTCCTCCCCATCCAGCTCAACCTCCTGGGGCTGGAGGGATATGGAGAAGAGGCTCATGCGGACCCTACCCCAGGCTTCATTCTCCCTGGATCACCATGCTCCTGGGGGAGTCCCTTTGTTGCTCCTCATTCTCATTCCAGGGCTCACCCCAACCTGGGTCTTTTTGACCTCTGGCTCTTTCTCCTTCCCTCAAGGTCACTTACTTGAGAGTGTAGTTGTATAGAAAGAGCACTGGACTAGGAGTCCTTTTTAGCTCCTGTACCCCCAATTACCTAATGTTTCCCCTATACCAGTCTCCCCATCTACGGAGCTCTGGTGGTGCAGTGCTTAAGGCATCCAACTGCTAACCAGAAGTTGGTGGTTCAAACCCACCAGCCACTCCTTGGAAGGAAGACTGGGCAATCTACTGCCGTAAAGATTTACCGCTTTGGGAACCCAATGGGGGTCGCTATGAGTTGGAATTGACTCGATGGCAAGGAGTTTTTTGTTTTTGGTATGCCAATCTCCCCACCTCTTACTGTCCCATTATTATCTGGCCCTGGCCCTTCAGTTTTAGCCTTAGACCCTGGTGGGGCCAGCTTGTGGTTAGCAAGGGCTTTCATTGGGATGCAAGGAGCTGGGGACTCAGGTGTGGCTCTTCAGCTCACTAAGGAACTGAGACCCATGTCCCTAACCCCATGTGAGCTCTTGGTTTCTTCCCTGCCCTGCTACATGGCCTTCCTCAGGTTTCCTTTTGTCCACTCTGCCTCATGAGGCAATGGTTTGGGCCTTGTACCAGAAGGTGTTCAGGCTCAGGTGCCTTCCTGCCCCCCCAGAAAGTCCCTCGGCCCCAGTGAATGTCACTGTCAGGCACCTCAAGGCCAACTCGGCGGTGGTGAGCTGGGATGTCCTGGAGGATGAGGTTGTCATCGGATTTGCCATCTCTCAGCAGGTAACCCTCAAGGGTCCCTGGGAGGGAAGAACACATTAAGATAGAAATAGGAAGGAAAAATAAACAAGGAGCAAGAAAGAAGGGCAGAAAGTTGCACATACGGTTGAAATTGGGGCCTCAGAGGGGAATCAGTGAGGGAAGGTTCAGGAGCTTTCGTTAAGAACCTAGGAATAAAGAGCACAGTTTTGATCTTGGACAGACTTGAGTTTGGGACCCGGCTCCAGTTCTCAGTAGATGTGTATGCCTCTGGCAACTTCCCTAACCTTCAGAGTAGTTTCCTTATGTGGATGATGAAGAGATGGTTAGGAATTTGTATGTAAAGGATCTAGTGTGGTAGAATGAGCCTACCATCACTACTGGCAAGGTGGGCCGAGTGGAGCCTGGGGAGCAGCACTGTGAACCCCGGGCTTGGCTGTTGCCTTTGTAGAAGAAGGACGTGCGGATGCTGCGCTTCATCCAGGAGGTGAACACCACCACCCGCTCCTGTGCCCTCTGGGACCTGGAGGAGGACACAGAGTACATTGTGCACGTGCAGGCCATCTCCATCCAGGGCCAGAGCCCAGCTAGCGAGCCAGTGCTCTTCAAGACCCCACGCGAGGCTGAGAAGATGGCCTCTAAGAACAAAGGCAGGTCTCAGCACTGCTAGTAAGGGAGGGAATGGGATGAGGGCCACAGTGGGTGGCTTGAGGAAAGCTCTAGTGCTCACGCCCCTCACCCCAGCCAAACAAAGCAGTACCTGAGAGAGGAGGGTCACTCTAGTTCCCCTGGACAATGGGTATATAAACTTACAGCTTTGGATTAAGTCCTATTACAGCCACCCCAAGTAATCATCAACATGTTCTTAGATCTCTGGACATCAGATATGTGGGCACCTACAGAAATAAGCTTATTTCTAATAATCATAACTTATTATCTTGGGTGCTTGGGCTTGGTCCTAGAGGAGTGGCGGGGGAAGGGAAGGAGCTGAGGACTTAGTGTTTCTGTCCCTACAGATGAGGTGACCATGAAAGAGATGGGGAGGAACCAGCAGCTGCGGACGGGCGAGGTGCTCATCATTGTGGTGGTCTTGTTCATGTGGGCAGGTGAGTCTGGGCTGCCAGACCTTTTTTCATCACTTAGCCATTGGGAAATGGAGAGCCCCAGCTAGGCTGCTTCTCTTACAGAAACCAAGCCTCTTGGAGATTTCTGAGAGAAGAGATCAGAAATCTCTTAAGTCCTGCCTGGGATGCTTTGAGAACCAGAACTGATCCCTTCTCTCACATGTTCCCCCCCCCTCCCCAATAACATATTGATAGCTGCCTTGTAGGAGAACATGATACTTGTCCTGCTCTTCCCTCCAAACTGGTCTCAGCTCCTGGGAGTAGATACATGATCAACCTCTTACCTCTGGCCAAGGCCACAGCCTCTCTTTTCTCTCTGGGTTGCTGTGTCTTGAGGGACTTCAGACCTGGGCAGCTCAGGGGAAGTTACTGCCTGACCACAGGCTAAGGACACCCTCCTAAACTACCCAGTTCTAATGAGACAGCCCCCACGCAGTGTCCCCAGACCCTTCCATTAGAGTGGTCCTCCTGCGGTGTGCTCCCACTACACACAGCCTGCCATTCTTTAGCACTTCTTATGTACATTAGTGGGAGCTCTGGTGGCATAGTGCCTAAGGTATTTGACTGCTAACCAGAAGGCTGGTGATTCAAACCCACCAGCCACTCCTTGGAAGGAAGATGGGGCAATGTACTTCTGTAGTGATACCAGCTCAGAAACCCAAGGAGGACTCGCTATGAGTTGTCCATGGCCGTGGGTTTGGTTTTTGGTATGTACATAAGTTAAGGGGCTCAGGTGCTGTAGTGCCTGAGGCATCTGACTGCTAACCAGAAGGTTGGTGATTCAAACCCACCAGCCGCTCCACGGAAGGAAGACTGGGGAATCTACTTCCATAAAGATTTACCGCCTCGGAAACCCAAAGGGAGGGTCGCTATGAGTCGGAATTGACTCAGTGGCAGTGAGTTTTTGATGTGTATAGGTTAGTTGGACTCGTGTCTGTCTTTTCCCACATGAGCTCCCTGAGGATAGAGACCACGTTTCATTCATCTTTGTACTTATTTCTACCACCATTTACAGAACACCTGTTCTATTCCAGGCCACAGGGCTCCATACAGCCATGGCTAAGAAGAAGCCTGTGCTTGTAGGTAGTCAGTCTGGTGGAAACCAGGCCTGTACTTAAACTACAATGTGATGAGTGCTGTCTGTAATGGTATCATGTATGGGAGCACAGGAGAGGTGGTTCATTCTGGGGCTAGGGGTAGAAATCAGGAAAAACACAGAGCAAATAACATGGGAATTGAGCTTTGCAGGATGAATAGGAGTTCACCAGGGAACTAAAAGTAGTATGTTCTGGGCACAGTGTGCTCAAGAAACAAACAGCTCAGTTGGGCTCAGTGTAGCTGCAACCTAAGAGAGAAGGCAGAAAAGTGGAGGAGTACTAGGAGGTAGTCTGTAAAGTAGACTGGAATCAATTTTTTTTTCTTTTAACATTATACTAGGTGAATGTTTTACAGAGCACATTTAGTTTCTTATTCAACAATTTATGTACATTTTGTTTCATGGCATTAGTTACAATGTAACAGCACTCTTCCCACTTCCTTCCAGGGTTCCTCGTGTCCCTTTGTCCATCTTTCCTTTCCCTTCCTGCCGTCTGCACTTTGTTTTGGGCCACATACTGCCCTTTTGGTCTTGTATGGTTGATTGTTCTTAGGAGCACATTCCTCATGGATGTTACAGCCCTGTGTTTTGTTTGGCTAGAAGGTTGAGTAGGTTCAGTTCTAGGTCTGAAGAGTGTCTAAGGGCCATACACAGTCTCTGAGGTCCCACCAGTCTCTGTCAGATCAGTAAGCCTGGTCTTTTATGATTTTGAGCTTTGTTGTACATCTTTTTCCCACTCTATCCAGGACCTTCTATTGTGACTCCTTTCAGAGTGGTTGGTAGTGGTAGCCAGGCGCCATCTAGTTCTGGTCTCACGATAGTGGAGGCTGTAGACTGTGTGGTCCTTCAGTCCTTTGGACTAATTGTTTCTTTGAGTCTTTGGTTTTCTTCACTCTTCTTTACTCAGACAGGAAGAGACCAATAGTTGTATCTTGGATGGCTGCTTGCAAGCTTTGAAGACCCTAGTCATTACTCACCAAAGTAGGATATAAAACATTGTCTTTGTGGACTATGTTATGCCAGTTGATCTAGATGTCCCCTGAGGCTATGGTCCAAAACCCTCAAGTTGACTGGGATCAGTTTTCTTTTTTAAATTGTGATTTGGGTGAAAATTTACAGAGCAAATTCACATTCCATATAGCAGTTCACATACACATTGTCTCATGACATTGACTACAGTTTACCACAATGCAACAGCTCCCCTCCCACTTCCTCCCAATAGTTACCTCTTCCCTTTGTCCATCCCTCCATGCACTCCTGTCCCCTGAGGTGTCTTGACTGGGATCAGTTTTGATGGACTTGAAAACCATGCTGAAGCTTTATGAGCATGGTGGTTGAGAGGCCAGGATCTATTATTGTAGAAGCTTTTGGGGAAAACATGCACTTAAAAAAGGCAGGAAAAACAAAGGGTTATATGAGAGAGGAGGTTTGCTTATGGTGCATTATTAGACTTGGCACTGATGGTATTTATGTAATCATAGTAATACAAACATAGTGAATTAACCCAAGATTGTGATGTTAACTCTGTTCTGGTAATGGGAAGGGGAAATAGAGGGAGTTATTAGAAGGCTTTATCTGTCACGCTAAGAAGTCAACAGATAATATCTAAAATAGATAAATCAAGGACCTAGCAATGTAAATATTTAGAGGTATAAAGGGAAAGAACACAGAAGAGTTGTATTGGGCTGCCTTAGTATTATCTAACTTACAATGTTTACTAGAGGTGTGTTTATTATTAGTTGGATAAAAATTTTTACAAGCATGTAGGCACTGGAGTTCACATCCCAGCTCCACCTCTGTGTGACTTTGAGTAAATCATGTGAACTCTGCATTGGTGTCCTCTCTCATAACCTGGAATGATAATGAGAGGTCCCCTCCCAGGGTTGTTGTGGGACTGAAATAGACTATGTTGGTGCACATCACAGGGCCTGGCATATGCTCAACAAATGCTATTGTTTCTTTTGTCCCCTAAAAGGAAAAGGGGAGATATCAGAGGCTTGGTGAAAGGGGAGGGAGGAGACATGATCAGATGCATGTTGTGGGAAGGTCAGCCTAGCAGCGGTGAAGGGCTGGCGGCTGGTCTGGGGTCAGGTGGAAACAAGCCGGAGTCCAGAGGGAGACCGTCACAGTAGTGTACATGAGAGGACATCTGGAGTTTGGGACCCAGCAGGAGCCCAGCAGATGCTTGTGGGAATGACGCTGACTGGAGGAGGACTCAGTCTCTGCCCTCTGACTGCTCCTCTTTGTGCCCCCAGGTGTCATTGCCCTCTTCTGCCGCCAGTATGACATTATCAAGGACAATGAACCCAATAATAACAAGGAAAAAACCAAGAGTGCATCAGAAACCAGCACACCAGAGCACCAGGGCGGGGGTCTTCTCCGCAGCAAGGTGAGGGCGGCAAGGGTGGGCAGCACCATGGCTTGTGCACTGGTCATCCCTGGATGGCAGAAGGGGTCAGTTCAGGGCCTGGCATGACTGCAGTCAGACAGAGCCAAGCTTGGCCTCTGCCTGTGTGATACAGGGGACACTGCAAATTGATTTTGGATCCTTTCCTTTGTAAGGTGCCAGAGGTGGTGTTTTTTTTTTTTTTTTTTTTTTAGGCAGAGAGTGGCAGGGGCAGAACTCTTAGTTGGTGTGGGAAAGTAGGGGTAGGGTTCTGGGCTCATGTCTGTTCCTACAGTGCAGTGTGACCTTGAGCAGGTGCTTCACCTCTCTGTACTTTCCTTTCTTCTATAAAACAGATATGAAAACCTTTTCAGTACTTGCTCTGAGCAGCTCAGAAGAGACACAGTAGAGAATGAGAGAGGATCTCATGGTTCTGACGATGATTATTCGACAAGCATCTGGCCCTCTCAACATCTCCTCCTTCCATCTCCTTGTACCCTCTGGCTTATTGTCCCCTCTTGACTTCTCTCTTTCTGGCACATTTTCCTGAGGCTTCTTATTAACCCCCATCTCCAGAAGCACCCTGATAATGTCAGTGGCTGAGGCTGTGCTCAGAGGTAGATCTGCAGGATGGAGAACCAGCCAGAGGGATGGCTCTTCTGGGGGCCGACTAGGGTGCCAGGGCCACAGCCCAGGACCCATCTTGGCCATTCAGCTGAGTGAGGCCGAAGGCTGGGTTTGAGAAGGCAGAGAGATGAGACATCCAGGCAAGGCTACTGTTTCCTTCCACAAGGGACAAGAGCTTGGCCTTTAGGCTGCAGCGCTGCTTTTCTCTTCCTTCTTCTGCCCTCCGCCTGTTTCCAACCTTGCAAGAAGTCTATTCAATTAGCCCTGGCCACTTCTCTCATTTTTTTTTTCCTCCCAGTTTCCAAACAAGCCCTCGGTGAACATCATCCAAGCGTGACTGCCTGTCTGCAGGGAGAAAGATTTCATTTTTCTTCTCTGCTGGTTCCCAGGTCCACAGGCACAGGAGAAGGGAGGACTGCGGCATGGGGAGGAGGCAGAGCTGGCTGCATAGTTCTCCCTCTTCTCCTGGCCTAGTCTGGTAAAGGAGGCTGAACTAAAAACCCAAATTCTGCAAAAAATAAACAAGCCACAAAACTAAAAGGCCTGGCCCCATTCTAGAAAAAGGCAAAGCTGCACGAGACATAGCCTTCTGCCTCCTTGCTGCTCCTGGCCTGGCTTCCTCTTTGAGAAAATGCACAAAGCTCCTGGGAGATGACAAGCAGCTAGACTGACAATTCAAGCTGTCTTTCAGACCAAGAAACATCAGGGAAGCTGTGGGGCTGCCTGCCTTGCAGGGTCAGGGCTGCCATCAAGCCTTTTCTGGATCCAGCCATCAAGGATGTGGTATGATACACAACTTTGTGAATGTTAAGATGTTATCTCTTTTGGAGAACAAAGTCAGAGGCTCTACTCCACTCCAGAGGGCAGAGAGGTTCGCCAAGGACTGAGCTGGTTGCTTGTATTCTGTCTTCTTTGGCTCTTACTTTGATTGTAAGATCATCAGGCTGGGGTCTTAAGAAGTAGGAAAGAGAAGTGGGAGGTATTGGCCCCTTTTCTTTAGGAAACATCTCTTAAAAGTTTCGGCAGTGCTGCCTTGGACAACTGAAAAGGTATGTCCACATTCCACATTCTGGGGGCTGCTAAATAACCCAGTTTGGAGCAGAAGCTGTGGAAGGCAAGCCTGAGCCATTCACCACGGATGGACAGAGCAGCACTGGCTATCACCACTGGCCTCTGGGGGCTCCATATCGTGCCATCTCATCCAGGGTTCCGTGAAGGCTACCCAGGGCCCTCATGTCCTTCCTTAGAGCCTGAGTAGTGTGAAACAGCAAGTCTCTCTCTCTCTCCACTGCCCCTTTCTGTTTTTTTTTTTTTTTTAAATAATAATAATGGTGCTTGAGATGGGAAGGCAGACTCTTCCCTAGGACTGACAAGTTACGGCTGCCATATGCCTGCATGGGAAGAGATGGATGTCTGCATCTTCCATTGGTGGACAAGGATGAGGGGTGGACTGTGGGAGGAATGTGCCCTAGCATAAGCCTGGTACACAGCAGGCGCTCAGTAAACGTTGAACTGAATGATAAGAGCAATGGCGCTCAAGCCAGAGAGCTGAAAGCCATCACTGATGACCGCCTCTTCCTTCTGGTCTACAAGAGCTCTCATGGCTGGGTTGGCCACCACTTTGCTTTGTTGGAGTGTGGTAGCACAGGGAGGGAGGAGAGACAGGGTAAAGGGCAGATGTCAGCAATATTAAGGGCTTCCTCATGGGAGGGCATGAGGCTAGGCTCATTATCAGTCATTATTGTCTTGTGACTTCCATCCCTGCTGAATGGGGCTGTAAGACCAAGGCTCCTTAGGGCAGAGATCCTTACCTCTGACCCAGTTAGAGCAATAACCACTTTTTAAATGTAAAATAAAAAGACAAATGAAAAGGCACATCCTTGTCTTCTGGTAAATGCCCAAACGTTGCCCTCTTTTTCTGGCAATTGGCAGCAAGTCAGGATGTGTGGAGGAGGGAGCAGTTTTCTCTCTCCATTTTGGCCTGCAGCTTCTTAGGGACATGCCTGCCAGCCAAGCTGGAGTTGGAAGGGAAATCTCTAGCAGATGGGGGTGCACGTGTAGGAGGAGAAAATAGCTGCTCTATCATCCTCTTGCTGAGGAGCCCCCCAAAACCAAGCTTGGGCTGCCTCATAGCATAGGTTTGCAGGCTGGTGCTCAGTTTTTAAAATAAAGGGTTTTCCCCTCTGGATAGGGTTGGGTGCTTTCCCTGGCCCAAAGGAATGCAGTTCTTGTTTCTCTCCAGGGTGAGGAGGGAAGTGAAGAGGGACAGCAGACATTGCTGTCTGCAGCTCAGTATTCACAGCATGCCGTTCTGGGCTGTTAAAGGAACATCATTACAATCCTTAGAGCAGGCTGAAAGGTAGAGAGTAATGACGCCATTAGCTATCGAGCAAACCAGTAAACGGGGCACCTTGAAAATTCCTGTTCAAATCCAGGAAGAGCTCGGAGAGAAAACTCAGTGAGGATGGCCTAGGGTATGCTGTTCTGGAAGGGTCTGAGAGCAGATCTTAGAAGCTGGGTGGGAAAGTGGGAAACCAATTAGTATACAGAACACTAAGCCAAACCTCAGCAAGGTACTACCGAGGCCCTCTGCGCTGTCTAGTGTCCAATGCTGGAGACGCCTTCAAGTCAGTGTCAAGTATAGAAAGCTGTCAGTGGATCTCAGAAGGCTCTGCTAAGGGGGTTTCCTGTGTTTATCTTACCTGTACATGAAGTAAGTTGCAATACATCTTTAAAGGGTATGAGAGTTGAGGAGGCACCAACACTTATGGCTTAGATACTCCGTTTCCTTTCATTGTCTTCCTATAAACTCCTAAGTTCTATACAATAGAGCTTTTCTTGAATCAGCTGTAGTTGCAAAGTAGAATCTTATAGCAATGACTTGGGATGTGGTCCTTTTCTCACTCAGATCCATAGAGATCTCACAACTAGGAAAGGGCACAACTAAGGGGCCCAGGCAAGTTCTTTGAGACCAGAAGACCTGCCTTCCAGACCCCAGCTGGTCTGAGGGAGGAATGCTAGACTGACAGGAGGTCAAGCCTTGTAAACATCTAACACCTTAGGCAAGTTACTTCTTGGTTTCTTTATCTGCCAAACACAGGCATTAGAAGCTTCCCAGACCCCACACACATTCTAGAGTAGGAGCCAGGGGATTTTCTTATAGGAACAAGAAGGAAACCCCAGGTCTGAGGGGAGGAAGAGATTGGTGAGTGCTTTAGTGGGACATGAGTTCATTTTATCCTCCTACTCCTATCCTCTCAACTCCTAGCTGTTCAGTATAGGCCTCCTCCAGAATATACATTTAAGATCTCTAATTCTACCTTTTATAGAAATAGGTAACATTTCACCACTCCATTCATTTGATGTTTCAGACTTCAATTTTACTTCTCACCTCTTTTTAAACCTACCTGAGTTTTTGGATCTGCTTGTAAGAAGTAGCCTCCAAGAATCTAGTGGGTAGAAGTCAGGGATACTGACAGTGCACAGACAGTACCCCACCCCATGACAACCTGGCTCCAAATGTCAAGAGTATGCAGGTTGAGAAGTACTGTGGCAGAGTAATAATTTCTAGACAAACTAAGTGAAAAAAATCAGGGAGGATGCACATCTCTTGTGCCAGGCTCGTTTATCCTCTTGGTTCCACCCAGTCTGCCCAGGTCACCAGGGCCAGGGGCTCCACAGAGTGGCTGGCAGCTAAACCCTTACTGCTCTGACTAAAGCAAATTTTTCCCCCAGGAGCAATTAATTTGTAGCTCATCCTTAAACACCTGTTAGAGAAGAATGCAGCAATACACCTGGTCAGGGCTTTTGAGGGTGCAGGCTCCTGCCTAGAGATTTAACCTCTTTTTGGCACAAAATGGGGGCACAAGTAGATAAATGTTGTATTCCTCTCTTTTCCCCCCATTAAAAAAAAGCCATCAAGAACAAATTACTTCTATAAATGGAAACCTTCCAATGCTGTTCAAAGCTAAGCTGAAGAAGGTCTTTGTGTACAAGTACAGTAGTTCTTTAGTGATATTTAGGATCATCCCTTGGATTTTAAACATTGTCTGGAAGCTGACATTACACCCCCTTCTCCATGGTGCCGGGAGGGTTAGATATTCTGTCTGTGGCATATTCCAGTTGTCATAGGGAGAACAGGTGGGGAGGATTGACCAGCCAGTGGCTTGTTCATTAAAGAATCCCACCACGGACCAGCTGATACTTCCTGTGACAAGTGGAAATTTTTTTCCTGACAGGTGCTCTGGCATACAAAGCAAGCACACCCTAGAATCAGCTTAGGAGTCATTCTCTTTTCTCTCAGAAAACCAGAACAACACTAAGAAAAGGAGGGGGCTTTGCTTTCTAGTTTCTAGGTGACTGGGGTTTTCTCCTCCTAAAAGCTCAAAACCAGTTAATAGCAAATGAGCCCATTCCTCTTAGGGAAGTCCTTTTCTCCTTTCCTCCTTACTTTTCCATAACATAAAATAAACTGAGGGTAAGGGAGACCAGCATGTTAGAGAATTCAGCTTGGTCTCTGAAAACTGTTGATGTCTCCAGTAGTAACACATGGCTAAAAAGAAAATAAGCAATTGCTGGATAAAGGATCATCTACACCTGACAGGAACATCAGACACAGACAATCTCAAATAGCTGAGTACTTAGCAAGTTTATACTGAACCTTTTGCTCAGACTGTGGAACATATATTCTAAACAAAACTTACAGTACAATTGAAAAGAGGCTATCCAAACATTCTGTTACTTATTTTCTCAGCACAAGTTGAGATTTTAAAAACACTGGCTAACAACATGGCTGACAAGCTCTTACTGCCTTCCCTTTCATCCTTGCTCCTAGATTCACTTAAGGGATCTGAATGTGGTGTCTCCCACATCTACCCACACTTATCTGGCCATTACCCCAGGCCACTCCTTTACCCCTGGTTCTCGGAGCAGTCAGTTTCTGGAGAAACTAGGTAAGAACAACCAATTGTGTACTATCAATTCTGGTTTCTCACATGCCCTTCAAAGGGAGAATGCCCCAGGATGACTCAGCTTCCTCAGTGCTAGCTCTGGAAATGCAGAGACAGGTCAGCTGCCCACCATGCAGCCACTGGAAGGAATGCAAGGCAGTGCCGGCCCAATCTGGGCCAAGCCACCTGCCCCCACTGCAAAAACAGCAGCACAGCGATATTTCAGGCTCTCCCTGTGTCAGGCTTCTGACATGCACCATATGTAGCTGCAAATCCCAATCAATTTCAACATTTCTTAACTGCTGGAACGCCCTTCTCAACGCTGTAATTTACCCTCAAAGAATAGGGAGCAAGCACCCTCGCCTCCCCAGTACCACATTCTACTAACTGCCGCCCCCCTCTCATACTCGACTAAACTGCCTACACAAAGGAGGAAGGCAGATCCCTCTTTCAAAGCCCACAACAGACGGCCACAGTACATGTCACTGACAAGAACTTTTATTTCATTTTAATGACATTAAACACAACTGCTACAAGGAAAAAAAAACATGATAAAGAGGAGGCACCAGACTTCAGTTTCATAATTGATCCTAACAAGTAAATCAGGGCCTGCATTAGATGCAAAACTAGAGGTTATTTCAGGCTTCTTACTTAAAAGTAAGCTAAGTAAACACATTTTTACTCTGTTTTGTCAAGACCCCTGTGGTGAGAGTGTCATCAGGGATAAAGAAAACTAGGCAGTTCAATGCATATAAAATCCTTGGGGGGCAGGGAATATATATTATATAGCAGGAATTCCACCTGAATACTAGCCTTAGAGGCACACACCAAACAAGAGATATGCAGCTTTGAAAAAAGATTAAAACTCCAGATTCTACCCACTTCCATCTTTAATGTGAACATGCCAGATAATGAGTTTTCTTTGGCTTTGTTTTTTCTTCTTAAAGAATACCATGTTAACTGCTAGAGAACAGTTCTCTCCTCCTCCAGTCCAACAGATTTAATTAAGCTGCTAACACTTTGGAAAAACAGAATTATTTGAGTAGAGAGGAAATGTGATTGTCACATTTTCTAGTTAACCCGTCACTCATTTGATTTGGTAAAGGCGATGCTCCCATTACACATTTAGTCTTACACTATTCTGTACCAAAAGGGTAAGAATGTGAACCTTACGTGTTTACCTAAGTAAACTGCTGTCCCTTCACTCCTCAAGTTATGAGGGCATCTCCTTCGACTAAGAAATAGACAACTAGACAGCTGCAATGTTAGCTATTCCAGCTACATTTAATTTTAACTATGTTGTGGTTCCAAAGGTGGAGGTTTGGAATGTCTCACTCCATCATGCTAATTTAGGGCTGACTGACGTAGTAAGTGCCAATTGAAATAGGAGATTTTGACTCTTGCCTCTAAATGGAACTTTTCCTTTGCATTTTGGTCCCAGAATCCAAACCAACTGTCCAAGGAAAAGAGACTTCTCAATTGGATACAAAAGTAAACAATTCTTAAAGGACATTCATCTAATAATAGTGGCCTGAATGACCAAGCTTTTCCCAAGTGGGGTATGATTTTTAAATGGATTACTCACACACAAAGATAGAATTGATAAGACAACCAAACCAGACAGAGGCAGCTAGCCCAATACCAGAAGGTACGCTCCAGCAACTATGTCCAGCCTTCACAGAGTGATTAACATCTGCGCAAAGGACAGTATACAAAACTCTGAAAAAAGAAGTCTAGAGCTATCTATAATGAGAGAATAGCAAGCTCATGAGACATCCATTATAATGGCTTCACAAAGACTCAACTTCTGGTAGAATACCATACCTTAAGGTCAGGTCATGCTTTTATGCACAGGCTTAATCACAACTCTATTAGACCCATTTTAGCAGTTATGTGAAACTGCATCAAGGACTTGACCAAGATGCTAATATCCAAGGTCCAAAGCTCTGTTAACTAATGATGGAGACAAAAGCATACCTCTCCAGCTTCTCTCATGATTAACACATTAAGCCATACTTAAAGCTGGGTTCAGCAGAGCAAACTGAAGATCAATTGACAGCCCACTGGCACTGGGTTTCTGGCCTGTTCTAGAGTCAAGACTGGGGGGGAGGGAGCACAACTCTTAGATAGAGCAGGGAGCCTGGCTGTTCTGCAGAGGCATTCCATGTCTTAAAAGGATACAGGAGCAGGGTGGTCACTAGGTGCAAGGTGGGGGGCACGGATCCTTTAAGAAGGGCAAAAGAGACAAGCCAAATCACACGACCATGAAGCATTCAACAAGGGTTAGTCAGCTGTTTTCTGTTACAGGTAAGATATCTAAGATTTATAAACACTATTGTGCAAAATAAGTTTAATGAAGAATGAAAAAAGTCACAAAATGAAGGCAGCTAGTAGGCACAGAAAGGAGAGGAAAGGATTTACACTTTTAATGTGTTCTTTCAACCAACAAGCCTTTTGTGCTATTCCAGCCTCCTTCAAATGCCGTGGATTGCCAACTCTAAAACACTGACAGACATTCAGAGATTCAAATGAAAAAGTAAGGGGTTGTTAAAAGTGACTTGTCAAAAAAAAAAAAGTGACCTGTCAGTTCACAAATCATTAGCAATAATTAACACTGGCTTTTGGCCTAATAAAGAATCTCTTTCTTGCACGAGTGATATCTCTTTTGGGCACGAGAAACAAACGTCACCTCTGCCCAAAGGTGGGTGTTTTACTTAAGCCCCAGTGTTTTGGCTTAATGTTGGCTTTCAGGAGGCAGCCACCTTCAATTTAAATAAAAAATACAACTATATCAACTTAATAGTGCTTAAAAAACATAAAAACATGAGGGCCTTCATACAAAAAAAAAAACCTTCACTGCTGATGGGATGAGACAAATGGACTGTATGGGAAATCTGGATGATGCTGGAACCGATGGTGGCTTCCCATGTTCCTGTCAACCCACTGAGTCAGACTGTATCTTTGCAGAGATTTCTGTCGGAACCGGGCGTAGTTTCTATCAGGAGAGAGGGAGAATAAAAACAGGAAAGTTGAGGGTTTCAGATGGAACTGTTGCCTGCACACAGAAAAGGCCAGCACAACTATTTTAAGAATATCTTTATTTTTGGAAATCTGGTAATAATTTTATATTTCAAGTCTCACCAGCTTAGAAATCTTATACCATTTTATTTATGTGAATGCCACATTGTAAGTGCTATTTCTTTCCAACTTCTAAAGCCAAGAAATTCCTATGTAGGTATCACGGTAATATGTGCCATGCACACAAGTGCTCTAAGTAAGCCTAGTGTGTCATTCAAATGTGTAATAATGTTAAGGTAGGAAAAAAAAATATCTCCCTCCCCAAAACATTTAGAGCAGGATCTATATTTCACTTCTTGCAGTAGACCTGCACCTTCAACAGGACCACATTGTTGGACACACTCAAGGTTGCTTAGGACGCAGCAGTTAAAATTAGAATAAAATTCCCAGAGAAGGTAAGCTGTCATGTGAGCATCACACTGCAAGTTTAAAGACTGAACAATTTAATACCACAGCCTCAAAGAAAAGTTTCTTGAGAGTATCCTTTAGTTATGTGCTGGGCTGGCGTTCTGAGCAGTATCCTCTGAGATAATTTGATCCCATTCTCAATTCTTACTGTTCCTGGGAAGATTTTAAAGATATGTATTCTTGGCCCCTTCTTCCCTCCAAACTTAATGATTTAGAATCCTGGACTCGGGGCCTAGACATCTGTTTTTTTTTTCATTCTTTTTTTTTTAGGATTTGGGTGAAGATTTACAGAGTAAATTCACTTTTCATACAGCAGTTCACATATACTTTGTCTCATGTCATTGACATCTGTATTTTTAAAAATCTGCATAGGTAATTATAAGGAGCAGCCAGGGTTGAAAATAATTATAACACTACCTGACAGGTGGCACAGTGGTTAAAGCACTGAGCTGTAAACCAAAAGGTCAGCAGTTTGAACCCACCAGCCACTCCACAGGGAAGGATGAGGCAGTCTGATTCAGTAAAGATTACAGCCTTGGAAATGCTATGGGCAGTTCTACTCTGTCCTATAAAGTTGCTATGAGTTGGAATCAACTCGATGGCAGTGGATTTTATTTGGTTTGGTATGTACAAGTATTGCTGAATTCTTTACACATCTCATCTAATGCTACTGACAATCCTATGGGAAAGTACTCCGTTAACTCCTTGTACAGGTTAAGAAACTGAGACTCAGGTTAAATAACTTGCCCAAGGTCATGTATTAGATAAGTAGAGGGGCTTGGACTTGAATTCACACTTGATTCCAGAATTTAGCCAATAACCCTTGCACTACATTGCCTTCCTGAAAACTGCTTTCATTTTGACAACTCTAGGGGAAATACCAAGTCAATAAAGACCATGAGGTGGCAGCATGTCTGACATGTTTCAAAAAACAGCAAGGAAGCCAGTGTGACTAGAGCAGAATGAGCAAGGGTAAGGCTACTGAGATGAGGTAGGTGAGCTAAAATGTCAGCCTAGGCCAAAGTGTAGGCCCTTGTAGGGGATGATCATTAAGATGGACAGATGTGAGATGGGAAGCCACTGGAAAAGTCTGAGCAAAGGATAGGACTTATGCTTTAAAAGAATCTCTTTGGCTGCTGAGTGGCGAATAGAAAGATGAAGACCATTTAAGAGACTATTACAATAATCCAAGTAAAAATGACAAATGGTCAGGTTTTGGATATTTTTCTGTGATAGGATTTTCTGATGGTCTAGTTATGTATGGCATGAGAGAAAAAGGAGCCAAGGGTGACTCCAAAGTTTTTGAGTAACCAGATCAAAGTAACTAATAAATCTACAAACATCACTGCACCAAGAATGCAGAAGATTTCAGAACTAGAAAGGTTCTTCAACATTAATTAGTCCACGATCTTCATTTTACAGTTGTAAGGACCAATCAAAATTGTATTGCTAGTTTAAAATTGCAAAACTACTATTAGAACTAGGTTTCCTGTAATTGATTTAATCCAGTTCTTATTCCATTATACTGTATTGCTTCTCCTTCCACCTCTGAAATTAAGCAACAGTTTCAACCCCAACTCCCTACCACATTCCTCCTACAGCAAATCCTTCCCTCTTCCTCCTCCTCCTAATCATCTACTCACCGCATGGTGAGGTCTGAAGGATGCTGCCATTTTCGGTTCTGCATGTGATGCACTTGATTCATCAAGACATACAGCTCCCCCAAGGCACCTGTGAGACAGAAGGATTAGAGAGTAGCTCAGTCAATGACCATGTCCTTACAGGGAAAGAGAAAACAGGTACTGATCACAATACTATCTGGTGGCGTAGTGCCTAAGTCATTTGACTGCTAATCAGAAAGCTGGCAGTTCAAACCCACCAGCCACTCCTTGGAAGGAAGGTTGAGCAATCTACTTCCATAGTGACACCGCCTCGGAAACCCAAGAGGGGTCGCTATGAATTGAATCTGACTCCATGGCAGTGAGTTTGTTTTTTGGTTTAGGATTATCACTAGCAGTCAGTGTAAACTACAAGCCAGAGAGGGGAGCTTGCTCAAGGATGATGATGATGATGATGATGATGAAGTAATAAAGGAAGTCACCACTCACTCATTTCAACATGTATTAAGTTCCTACAATGTCTGAGGGACTTTACTGTTCTCTGGTTATTGGCAGAGGGCCAGATACTGTACCTGCCCTCAACAAATTTACACTGAAGATGGGCAATTCCTAAACTGTATGAGAAGTATGGTGACAGTAGAAACAGAGGCTTCCATGCAAGCACAAAGACTGAAGGAGTGGGGCTAGAGGAAGTCCCCACTAGGGTAAGAAAACTATAAAAGCAAGGATTTAAAGTCAGTGAAATAAAGAGGGCTGGGAGGAGAGGGTGTCCAAGAACAGAAATGCCTACTACAAAGGCCAGAGACACAAGATAGCAAAAAAAAAATTCAAGACATGAGATGTTTAGAATGGATGGAGGCTGGGGGATATCTTAACTCACTGTCATCAAGTTGATTCTTACCCACAGCGACTCTTTTTTGGACAGAGTAGAACTGCCCCATGGGACCTGCAAGGCTGTAAATCTTTACAGAAGCAGACTGCCTCATCCTTCTCCCAGAGTGGCTGCTGGATTTGAACCACTAACCTTTTGGTTAACAGCCAAATGCTTTATCCACTATATCACTAAAGTTCCTGGGGGCTCTTCGTTAGCAAGAAAAATTGCTTAAGACAATTACTCAAACACCTGGGGGCGTGGCAAAGCACTACACATTTTACATGCTCTTAAGTTCTAAAAAAAATCTTATAAGGAGAAAGATACTATTAACATCATTTTAGAAGTAAGAATGATGGCTCAGGGAGGTGACCTTAGTAAATGCTTATTAAACCGAGATTCATTTAGCACCTGTTTGACTATATGCTCTTGCCACTATGTGATAATGCTAATTTTGTACTCAGAGGCAAAGGCTTAAGTTGAAACCCGATGGAAGTAGAAATAAAATAAACACTTGTTAGGAAATAATTTCCCTATTTTAAATTTTAATATGCATTATAATACCCCACTGCCGCGGAGTCAGATCCGACTCATAGAAACCCCACCTTGGGTTTCCAAGGCGGTATCACCACGGAAGTGGATTGCCCAACCTTCTTTCCGAGAAGTGACTGGTGGGGTTGTACTGCCAGCCTTCTGGTTAGCAGTCAAATGCCTTAGGCACTAGTGCAAACCATAACCAAACTCACTGCCATCAAGTCGATTCTGACTCATAGCGACTCCCTTTGGGTTTCTGCGGTGGTAAATTTTTACAAAAGCAGACTGCCCAGTCTTCCTTCCTCAAGTGGCTGGTGGGTTTGAACCACCAACCTTCTGGTTCGCAGTCAAATACCTTAGGCACTATGTCACCAGAGCTCCTCATGTAATAGCTGGAGGTATTATAAAACAGATTGCTGGGCCCTGACCTCAGAGTTTCTGATTCTGTGTGTCTGGGGTAGGGCCTGATAATTTACATTTCCAACAAATTCCCAAATGATGCTGGTCTGGGAAGCACACTCTAAGAACCATAGCCCTAGACAGTGGGACCCTTCTTTCAGCTAGTTTACATGCTTCCCATTACCCTATCTACTAGCCAAGAGCAGCCTAACTAAGCTACAGACCATCTTTACAAGTTCTGGTAAAAGATCTTTACCTTAACTTTTAGGACTAATTTATCTGAAGCTTTAAACAGCAGAAGTCTGTAGAAAAAGTATATTACTTTGGAGCTAGGCAGACATTAGTTAAAATCCAAACTAGCCACTACCTAGCTGTGACCCTGAACATATCATTTCAATTACCTCAGTTTATTAATTTATGAAATGTGAAGAAGAAATTGAGTATTGGTACATAGTATGAGTACATAAAACACCCAGCACATTGCCTGGCACACAACAAATATGCAACAAGTGGTAGGTCTTGTTTTTACTATAAGGAGCCTGGTGGTGCAGTGATGCTGCTAACCCAAAGGTCAACAACAGTTCAAACTCACCAGCCCGTCTGTCGCAGAAAGATGTGGCAGTTTCCTTTAGTAAAGATTTACAGCCTTGGAAACAATATGGGGGTAGTTCTACTCTCTCCCTATGGGTCACTATGAGTTGGAATCCACTCAACAGCAATGTTTTTGTTTTTTTTTTTAAATTGTTATCATGGTATTATAACCTCAAGCTTAAGTTAATTTGCAAAGTCTTTCCAAATCCCATTACAATTACCTTTTTTCCCTTTTTAAAAAATTACTTATTTTTTGGTGAAAATATATACAACAAACATATACCACTTTCAACAATTTCTATATGCACCATTCAGTGGTACTGGTTATGTTCAGTGACCACAGTGAATCACTCAGAATCAGTGATCACACTCAGTGATACTTACTGGTTATGCCACCTTTCTCTAAAGCCCTTCCCAAACTATTTCATCATCATTAACATAAACTCACTGCTGCTCTAAGATTCTCATCTATCCTTTTGAGTTGCTGTTGTATTTTGATTATATAGATAATTCTTTAAATGCAGACGTTTTTCTTTATAATTAGGCTAAACTATAAACTGGTTCAAAGATGACTGTGGGGGACAGCTTCAGCTCAAGGTTAAAAAATTTCCTCAGGGTCACAGTTTCAGGGGTCTGGTCTCAATGGCTCCAGAAAGTAGGAAAATCACCTCCTATTTGTCAAGAATGTTTATTACATGGATCAGTCCACACATCAATTATGACATATCTTACAGTACTCAGCAGAAATTTTCTTTCTAACCATGATTTGATACTTTTCATGAAAAATTCATAGATTCATTACATAAAAATGAAAAGTGTCTGTGATTTTTTTAAAAAAAGCAAAGCCAATGGTAAAAAACAATATGAAAAATATATTTGAAACATATCTGGCAAAGGTTTAATGTTTTTATTCTACAAAGATAGAATAAAACAAGAAGTCAAGGACATGAATAAATAATTCACAAAAGTAATACAAATCATCAGTAAGCAATGAAAAAAGGTTCAATAGCACTAATGGGAAGAAAACATGCTACATTCACTTCTTGTTGAAAGAATATGATCAGAAAGAGACTCTCCTTTAAGAAGGGAAGTAGCTCTTGATTAGAAAATTCCTTGCTTGCTCGATCTGTTAAGGTAAGATCAAAAGTCTCAATCAAATTGTCTTTTCCTATATTGTACTTTCACACCACTAGCACCCTGCTCCCACTACCAAAAAAAAAAAATCACTACTGTCAAGTCGATTCGACTCACAGCAACCCTTCCTTGGGTTTCCACCCCCAAAAAGGATGTTGGGGGGGGGCGGTGGATGGGAGAATCAGCTTTTTAAATATTTCAAGATACATTTTCTTCTTAAAGCAATACCAGTGCCCAATCTCAAAATGGAACTGCTATGAGATTGAGATTATCCATAGATCATGTCCTTCAGCTCACTTATCTTTTACCACCTGCATTCTACAAAACTGCCCTAGCAATGGAGACTAAAGACATTATAAACTTCCTATAAAAAAAAATCTACTTGCTTTAAACCAAAAGAAGAAAAAGACTAGCAAATTACACCCAAAGAGGCTTCAAATGCTCAGCTACTATGGGAAATAATCCAGCAGCAATAGCAAGCATTTATGTGCTTTATATATATTAACTTAATTATTCCTTACGACAACCCTGTGAGGTAGGTAATATTAGAAATTGATTAAATAATTTGCCCACAATTATTTGGGGCAATAATTATGTCATTGCTAGTGACAGTCAAAAGTCTACCAATATAATACCATTATAGGGCTAAATTTCCCTAAAAACTTTTCTGAGAACATTTCATAGACGGGATTCTAAAGCAGGAATCACACTGCACACGTTTTGTATACCCAGTGGTACCTAGCACCGTACTGTTAGTAAGCTTCTTGTTGTTAGGTGCTGCTGAGTCTATTTTGACTCAAAGCAACTTCATATGACAGAGTAGAACTGCCTCTCAGGGTTTTCTAGGTTGTAATCTTTATGGGAAGGAGCCCTGGCAGCCCAATGGTTAAACACTGGGCAGCTAAAAGAAAGGTCAGCCCATCAGCCACTTCATGGGAGAAAGATGTGGCAGTTGGTTTCTGTAAAGATTACAGTGTTGGAAAGCCTATGGGGCAGTTATTCCCTGTCCTATATGGTCACTAAGAATTGGACTCAACTCAGTGACAAGGGCTTTGGGATTTTTGGTAATCTTTTCAGGAACAGATTTGCCAGATCTTTCTCCTGTAGAGCTAGCTGCTGGGTAAGCTCAAACTGCTAACCTTTCACTTAGTAGAGAAATGCTTAACTGTTTGCACAACCAGGCGTCCTTTTGAGTAAGCAAACAAGGGCTTAATAATTACTCGGATGATTGGTTTCAGCTAATGCATCATGAAATGTTAGTTTTTAACAACACTAAGAATTTACAGTTAGCCTAAGGTAACCCTTATTAATATTAAGACTTTCATCTAGAGATAATAATGGGAGCTAACATTTATGAAGCATGATTACATGCCAGGCAATCTGCTAACTGCTTTGCTTGTATCCTATCAGTATCCTATCATTTAATCCTAACAATCATATGAAGAAAATACCATGTCTTTATGTTATGCATGAGAAAACTAAAGCTTAGAAAAGTTACTCATCTGTCATTTAGTAAATGGAAAAGCCAGGATTCAAACCCAGGTAGGTCTAAATATATTAAAAAAACAAACAAAAAACACCTT